GGAGAAAGAAAGGGTCAGGTGAAGAGGGAAAGAAAAGCCATGCAAGGCTCTCAGCACACAAGGCATCTGGGCACAATCTAGGAGAGGGCACAGACCATTTGTTAACAGACCATGAACTGCAAAGACAGAATTGAAGCTAGATGTCCCCATGAGGGACAACCCATGTATAGAGGTGGTTGCGGAGGAAAAAGAGTGGTGGGGGCGTGACACACAGTGCTTTGGGTGCCAGGGGGCAGTGGGATCTCTATTTGGGACAATTTGAAGCATATGTGATGTCAGGGGACATATGGGGTGACATGGGAGGGGTGCTGGAGCCCCAGAAGGGAGGCTGGTCAGGGAAGAAAGGTGAAAAGGGTGAGCCACAGAGGCTCAGTAACAGGGCAGACCCACAAGCTGTCACAGCTTCCTAGATTAGAGATAAGAATAATTTTCTTAAAAGGTTAGAAAGGATGAGATAGATCCAAGTTTGTCTGCCAGTGGCCATGAGCAGGCTCTTCTATTTTCCTAAGCCTATGTTCAGTTAGCCTTGGGAGATTAGGGACACTCTGCCACTGTCTGTTGCCTGAACAGAAGAGGATTAACTGTCTGCCTACAGCACAGGCATTCTAGACACCTAGCAGGAACTCAGTCTTCAGCTTTGTGCCTTGAGCACAGCCATTCCAGCCTGGACTGGCTGGGATTAGCCACACGCTTAGGAAGACTTCAGCATGACAGTAACCCACATGTGTCTATGCACAGACACTTGTAAACAAGCAGAGACATGTAGAGAAAGTGGGGCTCCTGCTGGAGAAGGTGGGCAGGAGGCTGCCACTAAGAAGGCAGATGGTATCACTGGGTCAAAAATGGAAGTACTGGGGCTGGAGAGATGGCTCAGCAGTTAAGAGCACCAGCTGCTCTTTCAGAGGACTGGAGTTTGGTTCCTGACATCCACATTTGGTGACTCACAATAGCCTGTAACTGCAGGGGATCCTCTGCTACCCTTCCCACATGTACATAAATAAATAATAAAATAAATCTTTACAAATAGAAGTATCCGTCTATCTCATAATCCAGCAATGTGATTCCTGGATCTACAACACAAAGAACTGCTCACCAGGCCCAGAAGGAACAAGGATGCTGACATTGGTGACTGGGTGGGTACGTGAGTGAGAACTACATGGGAAGCCATCTAGGTGAGCAATGTACGGAGTAAGAGGTGTGTGGAGGGATGGTAGTGCTCAGTAGTCCCGAGTAACTCTGGCGGTGGGGGTGGGGGTGCCTAAAGGCAGTGTTGTGTAATTACCTCTGAATTAAAAATTCCCTCCACATTGAAGCATTGCCTCCTGGAGGGAGGAGGGAGGCTCAGGAGACTTGGGAAGTAAACACACCTTACAAAATTCTGGAGAGATGAAATGTGCAAGATTCATGGGGGCCTCTCCAGGGTGTAGAGGCAGCAAGCAATTGCCTGGGCGAAGAAGAGAGGAGAGGGGAGGGGAGAAGAGGAGAGGGAGGTAGAGCTGCCTGCAGGACACTCTCCCCACCAGCAGAGATACCCAGAGAGATTGAGCAGCTGAGGTGCCTGGAGGAGACTTTGAACCGTCTGCCAGTCCTGCAGAGGGCGCCAGGGTTACAGCTTCTGTGAGCTCTCACCCATGCTGGAGAGGACTTTTTGGTGATGCAGTGTCTCTGTATTACTGGGTTACTGTAAGTAACCCAGTAAACTCATTGGTTCACCACGTTAGACTTTGGTCTGTGGTTCCCTGTCTGAAGGGTGTGAGTATATGTTTGTGTCGCATCTCCCCAGGTAAAGTCTCACAGGACAGGCAGTCCTGAATGAGGAAAGAGGGAGTGTGACACAGAGTTACCTACCTCAGTTAAGGCGCTCAGACACCCAACAGGAGTGCCACATTGTGGGGACACAAAGAGACACACAGGAAGCTCACTGGAGTAACTAACTGCTGGAGACTGGGAGTACGGTTTGTTGATAAAGTTCAAAGAGAAGGCTCTCTACAGGAGGGAGTGGAGATAGGAATTGAGGAGGGTCTTCAATTTGCTTCTCCTGGGACCTGGAGAGGCTCCCCATAATCATGGTCTCACATAGGCTGCTGCCCTGTCAGCAGCCCAGACCTGTGGGGCCCAGGGAAGGGCTAGAACAAACCTGTACTTCAGAAGGGAGGCTGAAAGAGCGGCTGGCCTTGGAGGCATGCAACACTCTCTCCTTGGGCTCTGAGGGTGGCTGTATGGTGGTACCCTTCCCTTCAGGTTGGAGTTAGAGCATAGATGCTCTGGGAACAGCCCACCTCACCACAGCAGCCTTCTCTGTACTCTGCAAGGTCTTTCTGTCCTGGCCCACCTTCTCAGCATCAGCTGGCCAGTCTGCTTAGTGTGTCCTTAGCGCAGCAACACCTGGTCTCCTGAGCTGGAGCTGGAGTCTCGTTCTTCCCCAGGTGTGACCAGGGAGTCTGTCTAAAAAGCAGCTCTGCCTGGGAGGCCCATTAAAAGCTGGGCACAGAAGTCCAAAATTAAGATGAACTCTTAGGGGACCCAACTGTCAATGGACCACAAGCAGAGGGGCTGAAGCTCTCAGAAGACAGGTCTTTCCTGATTGCAAATAGCCATCCACAGTTTGTCTGCATCCCACTTTTCCCATCCACAATAGGGACAGGGGAGTACATCGCCATCAGTTGTTGCGGTTGTCAGCATGGACTTCAGTGTGGACTTGAATCCCAAGCTGGTAAACTGTGAGTGGGTCTGGAGGTCTGAATTAGATGCAGACTTCCTGCTACAACACGTGTGAATCCCAATAGATGTGTTAAACACTGCTGCATCACACATGACTCATGGTACGGATGTCACTCAGACACCCTTTGTTTTCAGAGGACGAAATTGAGTCCTGGGGTAGATGGTTTTCCAAACATTGCCAAATAAGTTATCTGTGAATCGAGGCAGCCCTTGGCCTCCTCACCGTCTGCAGAGTGGTGTGGCTACCTAAAAGGCAGATCACCTACAAGCGTCTGGCCACCTGCAATGCATATAATGTACAATTAGTTCATTGAGTGAACTGTAATTTATGATTTTTAAAAGTACTTAAGTAATAATTAGCAGACTTCCCTTGTATCTATGTGCTATTTCATAGCTGATCAAGTCCTAACACATCTTTCTACCATAACCATCCTTTGTGGGTCCTCTTATTATTTGGGTTAGAAATGGAGTAAGGGGTGACCTCTGTCCAAGATGGCTCAGGGAGTGAGGCCAGCTATAGATTCAGGCAGGCAGATCTCTGATCAGGTGAAGGTTTCCCACTGTACCACCGTGCCTGCTTCTAGATCCGTGGTCAGCCTTTCCAATTATCAGTCAGTTAGTGTTAAAGTGAGAGGTAGTCTGGCCCTTAGAGCAGGTGCTGCACTCAGCCCTGGTGTGCTCCAGGTTGGGTCCACTGAACCAACTTGTTCTTCTGTGGCTTGATGATGCTATTGTGGGGGATGCTGTAGTCTGTTTGGCTTGACACACATACAAGAATGAATGTCATCAGTAAGCCCGCAAGCTTTCCAAAGGCAATTAGCACATGTGGAGTGGACTTTGTGTGCACAGAAAAGATGGTATTGTGTGAGAAATGGAAGCAGGGCTAGGGCTACTATTATTAGTTTACTTTTTTTAGAGAAGGGAGGCATCTACAGGAAAGGTGAGGACCGATCACCTACTTAGCCTAGACTGTCTTCCTATAGCTGACATCAATCATGGCCAACCATGAGTGGTAAAATGGTTAGATTAATACTCAGCAGTAACTGAAGAGGAGAGTGGTTAAAAATGTATAGTGGGCTGGTAAGATGGGTGTGTGTGAAGGTGCTTGCAGCACCTGAGTTGGATCTTTGGAACCCACATGGCAGAAGTGACTCCTACAAGTTGTCCTATCACTGCCAGATGCACACTGGCATGTACACCTCACTCGTGTGCATACACATATATTAAGTAAATGTAGATAATTTTTAAAGTATAGTATTTAATATGCAATTTATCATAAAATTAAGTCATTGTGAAAATGGAAATTAGATGAAGTTAAAAAGGTTTAATACCCGGAAATGCTCTGCTCAGACCTCCATTCCACTTACACATGTACCTGACAATGGCAGCTTGGTGAAACAAAGCACAGCATAGGTATGGAAGTCTGCACAACACTGACCACAGCAGGACAATTGGATCTGTCAAAAGCTGTTCGTGGCATGCAAGGAACCCACAATGGCTTTATCAGTCTGGCTAGGTTTGCTGTCGTCTGTGATTCTGCTGTTCATGAGAAGGGATTAAGCCAAGGACACTGGTGAAAGAAGAGGGGGAACTCCTGAGAGCGATCTCAAAAATAAAAGGTGGCTGTGAGATGGCGCAGCGGGTAAAGATGCCTGCTACACAAGCCGGATGGCCTGGATTTGACCTGAGCCCAAAACCTATGTAAAGGTGGGAGGGGAGAACGGACTCCACAAAGTTGTCTGCTGTGCCCACACTCAAAACACACAGTCAACAATAAATACAACATATATTTTTAAGTAAATAGAGGGGCTGGAGAGGTGGCTCAGTGGTTAAGAGCACTGGCTGCTCTTGCAGAGGACCTGGGTTCAATTTCCATCACCCACATGATGGCTAACAACCATCCCTAACTCCAGTTCTAGGGGAATCCAATGCTGTCTTCTGACTTCAGAGGGCATTGCATGACACAGGTGCACTTACACACATGCAGGCAATACACTCATACACATAAAATAAAATATTTTTTTAAAAAGTTAAAAGTAAATGGAGGCTGAGAGATGGTTTAGCAGTTAAGAGCACTGGCTGCTCTTGCATAGGACCCAGGTTCGGTTTCCAGCACCCACATGGTGGCTAACAACTGTCTGTAACTCTAGTTCTATGGAATCTGAGCCCTTGTCTGGCCTCCATGGGCATTGCATGCACACACTTGTAGGCATTTAGACAAAACACTCATACACATTAAAATTAAAATAAAAAAGTTTTAAAGTAAATGGGAGATGCTGTTGGGCCTTGGCCTACGATGAGTAATCAGTTTATTGTTTTCCTTGCAATAATAAAAGACACTTGTAGCTTCAGAAGCACTTCAGTTATTGCAGAAAAGTTCCCCAGCCTTTAATCCACTTTTTTCCCACTGAAATAATTGCTTAGTAATATGGTGTTGGAAAAATGGTTTTTGAGGAGTTGAACTAACAAAACAGAGAACAGGTTTACTCTTGCTTCTTCCCCATTTCATACATACATACATACATACATACATACATGTTTCATGTATGTATTTATCTGTACACAAATACATATAGATAACACATGTAAATGACATACACAAAATTTTATATTTTGCAGCTTTTTACTCAATAGCATAAGCATTTTCTGACATTAAAGATTCCTTAAAATTATTTTAAATAAAGTATTCCATTATACAGATGGAGTATGCATTATTTATCTACTTCCCTACTCAGCATTTTGTTTCCAAAATTTTGGTACAATAAAAAAGCTGCCATAAACAGTGCAGTAACATGACTGTGTCCAGATTGCTTCTGTTTTCATACAATTGGTTTTAGAATTGGAATAAGCTGGCTGAGGTTTTCATGAATATTATCAATAGTGTATATAAATCCTCAAGATGATGCCTGCCACATGGCAGGCATCCAATAACCAGAAGCTATAAATAGGAAATCAAGTAGCTGAGAGAACAGATGGATTCAGCCCCAGCAGAAGGCAGGATGGAGTCTGTGCCACCTTGCCAGGAGTGAATGCAACTGGGAGGTCTGGGTTAAGGACAAGACAGGGTGAGGGTCCCTGTATACAGCAGCAGATGGCCCTACCAAAGCCTAGAATGACTCTTTGTCTTGGAACCAAGCACAACTATACCAGCTCCCTGGCACCCCCAGACAGGCCCTCAGATCGGCCCTTTGAGTCCTGCTGTGAGCGTGCTTTGCTTAATCATGGTGGGGGTTGCTCTGGATGATACTGATTGATTGCACTCTTCATTCAGAGCCTAATGCCACTGAAAAGTGTGACCAGAGAACAAACAAAATGAATCGAAGAAGTTCTCCAAGATTATTTATTAGCTATTAGCTAAGGTGAAAAGAAATTTAAAAAGTAAATGAAACTGAAACATAATACAAGGAAATCTCACAGTTCTCTCCTGAGAACGTGAGCTGGACTGTATGGCCTGGCCCAGTAGTGGCTTCCTGTGGGCAGCTGACTTAAACAGAGCCCATGAAAAGCAGAAATTAAGAAATGACACTAACCTCTGCGAAGATGTAGGGTCTGGCATGGTGCAACTGGAAAACACACAGAGACTAGAACCAGACAAGAGGACCACTCGCTTTGCAAGCCCACACAGTTGCATGAGTGAATGGTGAGGCGGCTGGAATAAGTTCTCCCAGGCTGGCAATCCTACTGTACGCCTGGGCATGGCCAGTCTCTGTTCTTTGATGGTGGATTTGAGTCCTTAGCAGTCAGGTGACCTGGAGCAGGTGGACAGCTAAGGGGAGATGGGATTCTGGAGATGGGGTTCTGGGATATAATGGAGAGATAAGAGGTGTGACTGCTACAATAAGAAGACTATTAAGTGCTTCCCAGCCGGCCCAAGAGGCCTTCTCTACGGGGGCACTGTTTCTGAAGCCTGCACTAAGCAACATGAACATCCCGAGAGGAGATCACAGCCTCCTGGGTGAGGATGTGGAAGGCTGGTATTCCTTTGGATGCTTAAGCTCTGGGCTGCTTGTTAAAACCCTGCCTCACTCATGCAGAGCTCAGTGGGAGCTACGGTGGTACTGCTGTTCTTTCTCACAAAATGGAAGGCTGTCAATCTAAATGAACTTTATATTTGGTCTAGGAAAGGCCAGTTCTTTAAAAGGATTTTTATTCCATGAGCTCAAGGGTGCGATTTTCCTTCCTTATCTTCAACCTTTGAGTACCAGAAAATGCCTATATGTTTGTCCTTCATGATGCCTTGGGCCCTGAAGGAAAACAGCCTGAGCACTAGCAGTCCACAGGCCAGGCTTCCTTGGAGTGCTGTAGGACAGGGACTTGCCAGCTGGGAGATCTTCAGCACCTGGATTCCAAAAGACAACCCCCTGCAGAGACACTCTTCCTTCTCCAGGCCTAGGGGCTCCATAGGCATAGCAGGTGAGCTAGTGCCTAGTCCTCTGGGATGGGAGTGTTGCAGTTCCCATGGTAGATCTTGATGTGGCCCTCGCAGTGGAAGTAGGCCTGGAAGACATCGCTGTAGCCATGGTCCCTCCACCAGGTACAGAGCTGCCGGTTCCAGGTGCAGTCCAGCACATGGAAGAGCTCAGGGTGCTCCATGCCAATCATGGTGAAGAAGTCCTGGTCCCCAAGGTGACCACGGAACCGGTACTTGTCTGCAAGCTGCTGCACCTGTGCAGGCTCCAGTAGATGGCTGTAAAGCGGAGACTGGCGCATGGCTTCCAGGTTCAGCAGCATCACCCCACTGTTAAAGCCAGGAAGCCCCTCAGGCGGAGGATCTCCAACCCTGGTCTTGGGGTTCTCATGCCGGAACTGCCAGAATGTGTGCCTATGAAGGGATAGAAAACTATGTTAGCCAAGTTTGGTATGATTAAGCCTGCTAGCTCTGCTTCCTGGGTCTTCACTACTACCCATTTACCTCCACTTCACAGTGACAAAAGCAGAGATATTCTGAGGTTCAGAATCTACATCACATCACCAGCAAGTGGCAGCACAAGAGCCTGAATCCAGGTCCCCAGACTCTAAACCCCATGTTCCTGTAATACCCTGTGCCACCTCAGGATGACAATGTTGATGGATCCTCAATGTTATGGTCACTGTGCTAAGCCTGTAGATATAAGAGGTACTGGGGGTGTTCTAGTCTGCTTCTCTGTTGCTGTGACAAAACACTCAGCCGAAACCAAACTGGGGAGGAAAGGGTTTATTTGGCTTACAGCACAGTGCATCGTCAAGGGAAGCCAAGGCAGGAACTCAGGACAGGAACCTGGAGCATAGACCATGGAGGAGTGCTGCTTCCTGGCTTGCTCCTAGGGCTTATGCTCAGCCTGCTTTCTTATACACTACCTACTCAGGGGTGGTACGGCGCACAATGGGCTGGGCCCTCCCACATCACTCAGTAATCAAGAAAATGCCCCACAGACATGGCCACAGGCCAATCCAATGGAGACAGTTCCCCAATTGAGGTTCCCTCTAACCAGGATTGTCAAGTTGATAAAGTGATCCAGCACATGGAGGGTACCATACTGGACAGGGGTATTCACTCCTCTTAGCAACCCTGAGTCTTGTGCTCTGTGAATTGACCCACCCCTATGCAGTTAAGAAAACAGAGCTGGTAAGAAGCAGGGACTAAATAAACTTTGGCCTTGGGCTTGAAGTCCACATTCTCCAGATGCCAACAACGTGGGTAGCACCCTGTCTTAAAGAGACGACACAAAGGGGAAAAGATCTTTAGTGGTGTCCGTAAGTCTAGCATTTCTGGGAGGGTGGACAGGGGCTGAGGACTGGGCACATGCCCATGAGCCATGGTGAAAGCCGGTGTATGGATCCAAGTGGGATTGTGGCTGTGGAGGAGGTGATGGTGCTCAATTTTTGGTCTCTCCAGCAAGTTCGGAATAACCCAATTAGGCTCATAAGGTGTGACAGCTGGAGGGGACCATTCTAGGAGCCCCCATCTGAATACTGCAATTTGGAGGTGGGAGAAAACATCTGGAAATCTCCCTGTGACTGAGATGGTTAGAGCACCAGTGAGTCTGTTCTCTAGCCTATAATATAGCAGCAATATCTTGTGTGCTACGGGGACATGGGGGCATAAAGTACCTGACCCCATAGACAAGGTCCAGTTGCAGTACCTGCAACATGAGAGAAAGGGGAGCCTGGGTCCTCAGGGTGGGGAACACATCATGGCCACACCAGCCTAGAAATGCCTCCCTGCAGCTGACACTCACAGGATAGGATGTGGGTAAAGCACAAGGCATGGTTGGAAAGCAAAGTGGAGCCCAGCCCGGAGACCTGGAGCAGCTCCATTCTCTGGTTCCAACACAACTCCCATTAGGGGTATGGACAAGCCTTCTTTGTGGTCTCACATGTCAGAAAGGCTCCTGACAGTTTGATCTTGGATAGGGAAAAGCATGCCCTTGGGACACTAACCAGTGGAGCACACAGGCTCATTGATTGAGTCTGTCCAGGACAGGGATGTGAGAGGAATGGGGCTCTGGTGCATCCCTGATGATAACAAACTTGGCAAAAATAAGCTTTGAAAGCCATGGTCCTCCTGGTCATAGAGTCTGCTGTGATGCAATCACCAGAGTGTCAACATTTCATCTTACTTGTGTGATTCAGATGTTCCTCTGACCCTGTGATGACATGCCATGGGCCCGCCTCCTTTTCATGCTCTACAAAGAAGCCACTCCCCTTTCCTCTTCCAGCCAATCAGTTGACCATAGCTGCTTTCAGAGGAGGGGCTAAGGGTATAAAAGCTGGGAAAAACCACTGAGGCTGGTCTTTTGCCATTTTGTGAGGTTGTCTAGAACCATAGGATTTATGTCTGGGTGTGGACTTTCGAACACAGCCATGAATAGGGGAGGGGTGGCTGCTTCTCTGTAAGTAAACCCGCACCCCAAGCTCAGTTAGCAAGTCCAATAAACTCATTACGATTCTTCAAACCGGAGTTTGGAGAATTTTTCCTCAGGTTGTCCCAATGACTGTAGGAGGAGGGGATTGGATGTGCACCTCCCAGCAGTGAATTTGACTTACAACCTGGCTGCCAAGCATTTAATTTCAGGGCCATGTTCCAAGCGAGCTGTGATTCTACCAGACAGACCTGGATCAACACAGTGTAACTTAGGTAGAGGAGGGACTTTCCAGGGGACAGATGCCACACCATCCAGGCACTAGATTCTCTTCCAATGGTGGGGACAGGGCATTTAGGAGGGAGGAAGAGAGAGCTAGGGAGGCCAGCCCATCCCTGCTCCATCTAGCCTACTGTCTCCTTTCTTTCCTTGCAAAGGACCCAGAAGAGAACAGGGCCTGGCTGGATGGAGAAGGTCCCCAGGCAGCTCTATTACAATGCAGGGTACTCAGCCAACAGAGCCTTGGGAAGGATGAAGTGACCAAAAAAGGGCTATGGAAAGGGTGTGAGTGAGACCGCACAGCCTTCCGTGTTGGTGGCACCAAGGAGCAGGTCAAGGTAAGGGCACTGCCTCGCCTGCACCTCAGTGAACACTCTACCCACCATGAACAGGGGATTGAGGCTCATTGAAAGGGTTTTACCCCTCAGCAACGGGGGGGGGGGCACAACTGGGGACACCCTTGCCTGGAAGCTCCCCAGATCTTTCCTCTCTGCAGCAAGAGTGGCCAAAGGGTGGCCTGGCTCCAAGCTTGCTGGGCTTGAGAGAGGAAAACAGAATACCTCCAGGTGGAGATTGTAACCAGGTGGGTCACTGGGAACACAATGCCCAGCGCTGCCACTCAGGCAGCACATAGAGGCATTTTGTAACAAACACCCCAAAAGAGCCTGGTGCAGGGGTCAGGACATTTTGATGTGTCAAGAATAAAGAGGGGCAGGAAATTGGAAATGCAAGTTTCCCAGTATGTCTGTTGAAGCAGAAACAGCCTACAAAGGAACTGATGATGGTTCTCCAAACTCAAAAACGACCTGCATGTCCTTGCTCAAAGTGTTCTTACTGGCCCTCAGAAACAGAAGGTCACTTGGGTGTGTGGCTGGTTTCTTTGGCATCCATGGAAGCTGGTTCTTGCTGAGCTGCACAGGTTTGGGAGAGAGAACTGCACAGGGATGTGGGAAGGTGAACACTGGCACAGGAGCTGGTGGCGGCAGCACTCCTCACATGCCACAGGGCTGGGTGGATTGCACAGCCCTCTCACGTTCTCCCCAGGACACTGAGATCTTCCCTGTGTGGGAAGGGCTTCTGAGATCTAAGGACCCTTTATCTCTGTCTGCTTTGGATTACACGGGCTCATGTTCCAAGGAGCAGCTCTGGGATCCAATCCTATTTTTGAAACTGGCTGACATACCCAAGGTCAAGGACACTGGAGACCAGGCCATCAGAGTACATAGCTACTGCTGGCATGTCACTGGCTCAGGGGGCAGACCTAAAAACCTTTCTGAGGCAGGTCAGTGTACATCCTGGAACTTGCCCTTTCCTTCCAGGGGTCTGGGGATAGCTATATATGTCCATAAGTCTTGCAAGTGCTATGGCTGTGGGAAAATCTCTGTATGATTGTGGTTATCTGGTTCTGAGTCCTGGATCTTCCAGATGTTTCTTGGATGAACGGTCCATGTTCATACCCATCTACTCTGCTCTAACTGTATTTGGGCCTATGTGGTCTTGTTCCACTCTCCATGGTCAGCTGGGTGCCACCAGCAGGGGTAAGATCTCTTCTCTTTGGAAACAATTTCAGCTGGGAAACAAGCCCTGTGCAGATGGTCCACTGTAAATAATGAATCCTTCCAGAAGTCAATGAGCCCTGTTGAAAAAATACAAATGAAGCCCCTTCAAGTCCTTGCTTCTGGATGGTGTATCTCCTAAATTTTTATGTGTAGTTCATCTTAATAAGCAAAACAAAAATGTCAGTAAAACTGTGAAGTAGTCTTTTGTTGGAGACCTCTGTTATGCAAAGTAGAAGTCCCATCACGACCGGACAGCTCATGCAGCTTGGGATCATGTGCTGAGGGCTCCTTTCATAGCAGGGTGTCTTCCTGGCATCTTTCCTGTCTCTCCTTTTGAAGTGTCCGCCACAAATGCCATAACATAAACATGGCCTTTGGCTCTGAAAGATACCATGCCTTCCTGTGATTTTTCCAGGCAGTCAACAGTCTAGCAGTGTGGCAGAAATCCACTTCCATATGTAAATAGAATGCCTCACAAAGCAT